TCGTTATTAGAGTATAGAAACACTATGGAGTTTTGAACATTGATTTTGTATCCAGAGACTACTGTATTTGCTTATTGTTTCTAGGAGCGTTCTTGTGGAGCTTTAAGGATTTTCTATATAGAGAATCATGTCATCTGCAAATAGTGACAGTTTGACCTCTTCATTTCCTATTTGAATGCCCTTTATATCTTTCTCTTGTCTGACTGCATTCACTAGGACCTCCAAAGTCATATGAATAACAGTGGCGATAGTGGACAGCCTTGCCTTGTTCCTGATCTTAGAGGGAAGGTTTTTAGTTTTTCGTCATTAAGTATAATGTTGGCTGAGGGTTTGTCATATACGGCCTTTATTATGTTAAGGTACTTTCCTTCCATACTAATTTTGTTAAGTGTTTTGACCATTAATGAATGCTGTAACTTGTCAAAGGCTTTTTCTGCATCTATTGATATGATCATATGATTCTTATTTTTTAATTTGTTTATGTGGTGTATCACATTAATCGATTTGCATATGTTGAACCATCTTTGTGCCTATGGAATGAAGCCCACTTGATCGTGGGGTATAATCTTTTTAATATATTGCTGTATTCGGTTCACTAATATGTTATTGAGGATTTTTGCGTCTGTATTCATGAGATATATTGGTCTGTAGTTTTCTTTTTTGTATGTTATCTTTACCAGGTTTTGGTATCACAGTAGTATTGGCCTCATAAAATGAGTTGGGAAGTATTCAAATTTTTAGAAGAGTTTGAGAATAGGTATTAAATCTTCTTTGAATGTTTGGTGGAATTCACTGGTGAAGCCATCAGGTCCTGGACTTTTACTTTTTGATAGGTTTTGATGATTGTTTCAATTTCCATACTGCTGATTAGTCTATTTAGATTTTCCAGTCCTTAATTCAGTCTAGGAAGGTTGTTTTTTTCTAAGTACTGTTCCATTTTTTCTAGGTTATTAAATTTGGTGTATATGTTCTTATTCATAGTATTCTGGTATGATCCTTTGTATTTCTGAGATGTCAGTCATAATTTTCTCTCTTTCATTCCTGATTTTGGTTATTTGTGTCCTTTCTCTTTTTTCTTTATTGAGTCTAGCCAGGGGTTTGTCAATTTTATTAACCTTCTAAAAGAACCAGCTCTTTGTTGCAGTTATTTTTTCTATCTTTGTTTTCAATTTCATTTATTTCTGCTCTAATTTTGATGATTTCTTTCCTTCTGCTGACTTAGGCTTCGTTTGTTCTTCATTTTCTAGTTTTTTTAACATATAGTGTTAGGTTGTTTATTTGGAATAGGCCTGTAATGATATGAACTTTTGTCTTATGACCACTGTTGCCTTGTCCCAAAAGTTTTGATATGTTGTACTATCATTATCATTTGTTTCTATGT